CATATTATTATATAATTCTATTACTGTGTATTTTTAGTCGAATAATATATCCTCATCTAATCAATGCATTTCAATTCAAAAAACTGTAAAAATATTTTTCGTGCCAGATTTCTTAAAAATTAAATATTATATTTTGGATTCTTATTTTTATTTTATTTAATTTGTACTCTCACTCCGATACCAGGTAGTACCTCCTCCTTCTATTGTTTAAAATGCACTGTAACATTTGAGCTCTTTGGGGATGTAAGTCTCTGTAGGAGTTAGCAATATATTATTAGGATATACCCGTGTTGATGTTATTATTTTCTAATTTAATTAAAAACTAATTTCATTTAATATATGAACGTAATGATGGTCAATATTTTTTACCATCCGATTTAAAATACACTGCATTATTTATATTTTTATTTATTATTTTCAATAATGAACCGTTATAATCGAACGAAAAATTTAAAAACTTAGCCCCCTCTCAAAATTTGAGGTTCTACGTTTCAGGATACGTAGAATTCGAAAAACGAATAAAACATTTTGTCAGTCCGCCGTCCGCGCATTTTCTCCGAAACTACTGGACCGATTTTTTTTCAAATTTAGATTTTAAGTCAGAGGTCACCCGAGGATGATCCTCTTTTATTGACATTACTATCCGCCTTTTCCTTTCAAAATGGCGCCGAAAAACCTGCGTTGCTATAGACCGTTTATGCGCCTAAACGAATGTACCGATTACAATGAAACTTGGCTAAAGTCTCTTTCTCGATGCCCTTTAAATTTATCTGTATAACATACTTCAACGAAAAGAAGCTGGAAAAAAAGTTAGGAGGGATGGTAAAAGGAAGGATTCCGAATAACTCAAAACGTTTACACTTTTTTGTTGATATTGTATATATTGTATCTTTATTTAAACGTTTATGAAATTTCTTATAAAAAAAAGAAAATCGTTGAAATCGGACAATTTGGAGCAAAGATATGATCTCTAGATGTTTTTAATGTTCTGCTGCAAATCCCTTGTTTTGGATTTTGATTTTTTGTGTTAATGAAGTACTGCTATTTTAACAAATTACTAATGATTAAAAAAATAATTGGAATTAACTTTTTATTTCTTTTAATTTTGTCACTAGGAAGATAATGTTACTTTAAAAGTATAATTTTTGGGAAATAATAAACAATTGTGAAATAAATTTGTAGTGTTTTAGTTATATATGTATGGATTAAAAATCTTTCATTTTATCTAATTTATACATACGGTAACATCTATATATCCTCCAATAAGGTAGAGAGAGAGAATATAAAAATAAAATGTGCTCAGTCTATCACATATTGGTGATACGCTACTTTAGGGGGGCGATATTCAATGATAAACACCCATTTTGTCGCAAACAAATATTAGTTTATTCTATATACTCTCACTTTAGCTAAATATACAATTGTATACAATTCATGAATTTGAGTTATGCCTTTTCGCTTTGTCCCCGGTATATTTCGTATATCGTGAAATACAATGAACTTTTCTCATGTGTAACCTGAGATCCCAGAAACATGAAACTATTAGATAATAATTCAGTATGAAGAAGTGCATACTGGCAGGCTGTAGGAACTACCGGGTCACGAAAACCTTATAAAAGAAGAAAAACAAGGAACTCAATCTCGGTAAAAGCATTTTTATTCCATGAATAATGATGGTTTTGTGATATTGGCATTTCGATCAACTCGAGGAAACTTTCTTTTCCTCACGTGCTCCCTATGGGCCAACTTTGAAACGAAACACTGACATATGAAAATATATATATTATGGAAACCATTTATTTAAATGCATTTAATATTGAACTGATAATTAAAATAAGCAATAAAAATGTAGTACCTGCCTCAAAAATTATACAATATATAATTTTTCTTGATTTTGTTTAAATATGCAATCAATAACATACAATATTAAATTATTACTTCTATAAAATTATTATAAGTAATAATTTACAAATCCGATTCGTTAGAGATTTTATTAAAAATATGATATGCAATGCCGGCCTGAACTGAAGAATTGAATAATACTCGAAATTTATTTAGAAAACTAAAGGATCAATCATTATATTTAAATTTAATTGCCTTTCTTCTCGTTTCTTTTGAATTTTGTTTTCTGTTTTGTGTAAGATTTCGTCGTTCAAGAATGAAAATGTAATGATTAATTACGATATAATTATATTAACCATAATTACTTTTATGGAATTTCAGCCATGGGGCTCTCTTATAAATTAGGGATGGAGTTGTCTAACCCAACTTCTTTTTAATCGCCTCATAATGACCATATCAGCCGAAGTCATATCGTTAAGTTAAGTATAAAAAGTCTCTGTGATTTCATTTTACGATTTGGAACAATTAAGTAAAATTATTTCAGTTGTTTATTTAAGTTTTTTCTTTTAATTTCTACATGTTAACGACATAGTCGATTGTATAATATTTTTCCTTCTTAGTTTCCCTATCACGACCTGTGTATAGAGCACACACGGCTTTCGAATACATGAGCTCTTGTTTAAGCTTTCCCTTGAAATATCAACAAACAAATAATAATAATAATCTAAAAAAAAAAAATGAATCAATTACGTTACACTATTTATCTTGTATTCATCATTTCGATCAATTGTCAATCTCAGATTTTTTAATTCATATGTCCACACATATTTATACAATAAAGATTTTTGATAACAACCTTGTGGGATTTTTAGTAGATATAACAGGAGTGAAAATTTAGACTTTCTCTGTGATTTATTCTTGTGGTATTAGTTTGGCTTGTTAATATTAACTGCAACACAAATTATTATATCATATTTTAGCAAAAGAGTTTTTCTATAAATCATTGAAAATATTTAAAAATGGTTAACAACGATTGCTGATTTACTTCTTGAAATATATCAATGAGTTATATGAGTTATATCAATGAGTTCCTGTCAAAATCTTCAACTCGCACACGAATCTTCTCCAATCCAATAAATCACGTTAAAGTGTCTGAAACGACTTCCTTTAGTACAGAGAGAAGGAAAAAAGGGGTTGGTAAAACGTACCAAAAGACTCGCTGGATAAACAAGTTGCCTCTAACAATACTACGAGTGCATGTAAGAGACGTGATCAACCATAGGACGTTTCTTTTTCCCGAAACCTTAATTGAAATTTCATTAACCTTAATTAAAATCAAAATCAGACGCTAATTTATTAATTATACATTATGTAACTAGGTTTTAGTTATTTATTTTTTATATTTAATTATTTTTTATTTTTATGAATTGGAAAAGATTCGGTATTACTTTAGTCCTAGACATTGTGGTGAAGAAAGGAAAGAGAGAAGGAATTCTTTGTTTTTATTTTATTTTTTTCCATTTGCACTGGATTCTACGTATTGGAGATGTATTTTATTTAAATAAGTTGTTGTTTTTTTGTCACTACATTGGTTTTCACATAAAATTAATTTAATGTCCCTTTCCTCTCTGTACTTTTTTTCGAAATGCTTATTTTTAATGATTTTAATACCGTAAAAGAAGAAACGCAGTGTAAGATATTGTTTTTTATAGGGTACTAAGACCATCTTTTTAAAACCCAGAACACGAGACAAGTATCCCGTGGCTACTACACCGCCTAAGAGGCGTTCGGCAATAATTACGATTTATCTTGGAAACGTTACTTTTTTTTTTTTTAAATGAAGTTTATTCTGAGACTTCTCAGAATAGCAATGATGATCAAATGAAGAAAAATACATATCTGGCCAAAAACTAATATATACAATCATTTAAATAATAATATAATAATATTTGGTAAACAACTAAAAAAAAATATAAATAAAGCCTTTATAATAATAATATAATATTATTATAATGTTTCAAATAATATTTGAGGTTGCAATGCGAGAAAAGAAAAAAAAATGTATATATATATATATATATATATATATATATATATATATATATATATATATATATATATATATATATATATAGAAAGAAAAAAAACTAAGATCACATGATAGAAGTGAAAACATCAACAAGGCAGATAGATAGATAACATAAAATAACAGATAGATAATATAAAATATAAATTATAAATAATAGCTCATTATGAAGTGGATGTAATGTTAAACATTTATCGCTTACAATAAGCAGGTCCGAATTTTAGTTTCTGAGATATTAAAATCCATATCTTCAATAAAACTCATTTGTCTCTTTTCGCCTTTGTAACACGTCGTTAAGATACAATTTTGAATAATAGCTCATTACAAACAGAATGAAATGGTTAACATGGTGAAGTCCGATTTTTAGTTCCCGAAATATTTTAATCCATATGCGAACACACTTGAATTATTCGATTCCAGCCAACTTTATCCGAGCGTTACACACCAGAAATCTGATGGCTCAGTCTAATTCACTCTCCAAAAAAAATTCAAAACGTGCCTAAAGAAATTTTCTTTAAAAAAAAAAAACAGAGAAAAGAAATAACAAATGAACGAAAAGAAAAAGCATTGATTTTTTATGTTAAAAACATAAAGAATAGGCTAACTTAATAAAAATTCTAACAGTATATATAGTAATTTAAAAAATAATCTGTAAGTACTAAAAAAATAAAATAAAATCTTCTCGAGAATAATTATAATTGTACATTTTAGGGTTTAAAATGTAGGGCCGAATAGTTCATAACTATATCGGATCTTGATGAGAGCGTCGAAATCTTTAAAATAAAATCTATCCCGTCACGATTTGTCGACTTTTTAAACCTCCCAATAAAGTGGTTGGAGGAATTTAATTTTACGTTTGATATCTCATTCAACAAAATCCATCATTCTTGAGAGCGGAAAATAGACCGATACTTTCGTATTATATAGTGTGGATTGGATCATTATTTATTTTTTTTTTTTTGAAGCTTTTTATTTATTTTGACTGATCTTTATGTAACTCGTCGGAGATAATTACCCTGTGTCCATAATTTCCCTCTCCCTTTCACTTCCACTAGTTCGCTATACTCTGCAGGAGGCATTAATAGCCTCCTTCGAAGACCAGCAAAGGTAGTGAAAGCAAAGAGGTTCGCTATCCTGGGAGCGGGCAGGTTCCCGTTCACTGCAACTAATAATTTACTGCATAGGTCAGCGCAGCGCAACGGCCTTTAGCTGCACTCAACTATCTTGGCAACTTTAGAAAAAACCAGTCGGCATCATCGTTATAGCCAAGTCACGAAGTGGTACCGCATACGAAACCCTAATGTAAACGTCACGAACATGATATCCCCACATATATTATTACAGTAAGGCTCGAAATCGGTTTTGTACCAAATATAAGCTCCTGTCATGCTCAAATACCATGGATGGGGTACCGCTGGATTTAGAATTTTACGGGGGGTTAGCGAATAGTATTCTCCACTTTTGTTTTTCTTTCTAAAATAATTAAAGTCGATACAAACATTTTGCAAAGCTTCAATACTGGAACGGTGGTAGGTCTGTAGATCGATACGGGACAAATTAGATGTTGAAGATTTTGATGCGCACACCAAGACCCGGATAGTTCCTCCGGAACTATCGGATCCTTCGTTTTTAAGCCCAAAAACGTAATATTTTCGAGATAACGCAAGGCATAGTGTTCGCATCCATACAGCCTTACATTAATTGTGGTACTGTCATTGAATACATGTCTCATTTCGTCGACTTGGGGTCTCTATGATCGAGAGAGGAGGAGTTTATGTTATTTATCGATGGTATTTTTGTTCGGCATGCCAAATTATCGGTAATTTTTCACCGAATCTGAAGATTGAGCCACCAATTTCGAAGGTTTCCTTCTCCTTCAGGCGGGCAAAATAGTCCAATCACCCCGAAAATTCAGGCAAACAAGTTATGAAAGAAAACAAACTTTATTTGCGAATAACTAAAAAATTACACACTTTTCTTTTGGTTATGCCCATGATCATGTAAAATATTACTAAAGCCCGTACAAAACGAAAAAAAAACATCGAAATCGGACTATTTTTAACAGCTTACTGAAATTTGTGAACATGTTGGTTCCAAACAAAAATGAAGATTTAAATTAATTTTTGTTTTCTTTGTCGATTATATTTATCGATAAAGTAACATTTGATTCCTTTATCTTTTGATACCTTGGCATTATTTTATTTTCTTATTAATTTGGCATTTGTAGTAGTAACAATATGCTGTGCGAATTTTTCTCACGGGCCTACTAGTCGTCAGTAATTACACTTTTGACTAACTACACTAAGGTATTTGTGAATATCAACCACTGAAGTCTCCCATTAGAGGGTTAATGGCGCAAGTTGGGCTATCAACATTTTTGAGGGGAGAACATTTCTACAAGGTTCAGAATTTTTGGAATGAAAAATTTCAAACCAGAGGACAAGTGAAAAATATTGACACATCGAAGTACAGCTGTATATGATCTATGATTTTTTTAAATTCGCTTGCACTGTTTATAAAAGAGAACGTTAAGAAAATATCTTGGGAGGGGGTGGGGAGAGAAGAGAGTTCGTGCATCATCGTCCGTGGAGGAATAGACACCATTGGTTTCAATAATATGTATACACTAAAAAACAGGTGTTTTTATTTAATGGTTCCGATTTAACAGATTCTATGGATCATTTTTGTAAAAGTTTAATTTCAATGTATTAAAGTACTTAAACAAAATGACGTTAACTATAAGAAGTAATTAAGCTTTGATTACAGGTATAATCTAATAATTATCTTGAATGAACTGTCTTCAGACAATTCCCTTTTTAGGCTCTGTCCCAGTCACTAGCGGATCCAGAATTTAATTTTTTTCATATATATAACGATAATTAATTTGAAAAAAAAAAGAAGAAATAAATGAACAACCTATATGAAATGGTGTAATTCTTGAAGTCCTATTGAATGTAATTACACGAACAATAATACTTTAAGAGATAGTTTTTAATTTTTTTTTTCTATAAAACATGGTTATATTTTACCGTTTTGGGGGGACTTCAGCCCGAAAGCCCCTTCCCCCCCCCCCGTAAATCCGCCTGTGGCCCCAGTGCTATAAGAATATAAGCTATTTGATAAATTTGTAATTATTTATAATGATTTTTTTCATAAGAAGAGTTACTCAGTTCTTCATATCGTTTTTATTATTCTTTGTTATTCTGACTTCTCGAGCTTATTTTTTGTCCATTTTCGAAAGCTTATTATTTACTAATACTTTCTCATATATCATTATAGATTGTCTTACATAAGTTATCATTAATCCAATTATTTCAACAAAAAAAAAAACCTATTATTTGTAAAAATTGTGTCAAGACATTGAATACACTATAGATTTTAGTAAACCTCATTTGTTGTGCATCCATTAAATAACTTAAAACTGAACTATGTTTTGATTTAATTAAGGAATAAACATATCATAAATCATTACATATATCATCAAATGGAGTTGAATAACATCTACAGTCTATTAGATAGCTTGACGTAATTTTCACAAATAATTGAATGAATGAGTGAAAATAGATTTTATTATCCTGGGACTTTTGTCCCTGTAGGACAAATTATAGATACAGAGAAAATGGCTGTGTAGCCATAAAATTAAATTAAATATTTACAATGCTCATTAAAATAAAAATATTGAACTAAATCAAAAACAATTAATACATACAGATATATATAATACAAACATGTGAAAATAAAATGACATAATTAAACAAAATCATTTCTGGGTGAACTTAAAAAGTTCTCTTATCTACTTTTCATGATCAATCGGGTTGGGAAAGAAGTAGGTGCTCAAAAAGGAGAGATTTAAATGAGGAAACTAATTGCGCATGTCGGATATCGGGAGGGATGGTATTCCAGATGAAGACAGCTTGAATTATAAAGGATTCGTCAAACGCTGCAGTTTGGTGAGGAGGCGGATAGAAGTCAGAAGCACGGGATCTAGTGGGACGGGATTGAATGGAATATTTAAATTTTAGGCTGTGAAAAATATAAAGGTCGCCGAGTTCTGATGGCTTAGTATAGAAAGGTAGCAAGGAAGGACAGACGGCGACTAGATGGATAGAGCCACTTCAACTTGGTGTAATACTGGGTTATATGCGTATCTCTTGAGATTCCGAAAACAAAACGTATTGCGCAGTTCATTAGGCGTTTAAGTTTAGCCTCGAATTCTCCCGAGTGTCCGCCGTACACCAGACAGCCATAGTCGGAGTGGGGGAACACAAGAGAGGAAACCAGGAGTTGACGGGATTTATATGGAAGGAGATAGCGGAGACGGTTAAACTGTTTGAGGGTAGAGATAGTACGACGGGAAATTTGGGAGATGTGCGGTTTCCAGGAGAGGGTTTGATCGTATGTAACACCAAGGTTTTTTACGGAAGTATGGAATGAGATAGGTGAGTTGTTGAGGAAAAGATTGGAGAGTGTCTGTGACTATTTGAGGAATGAGGGAGCTCCGATCTGGATGGCTTTCTTTTTCTCGGCGTTTAGAGTGACTTTATTGATTTTTTTTTTTAAATAATGAGATACAACATTCTGCCATGGTATGTGAGAGTATTACTAAATAATAAGCTTTTAAAAATGGCAAATAAATAAGCCCTACAAATTCAGATAATGAAGAAAATTAAAAATAATATGAAGACCTAAGTAACTCTTCCTACTAATAAATTGTATAGAAAACGACTAATAGGCCTTCAAATAAGAAAAAACTTTGAAAATGTTACCGCATTCGAGCATTTAGTTTTCCATAAAATGGGTTTAGACATTTCACCAACTACGGGACAAACAAATAAATAAATTGTTATCACTATGCTCGTATTTTTCTTTCTTGTTTTTTTTATTTTTCATCTGATGTCAATATTAAGAGAAATAAAATAAATAGTTAAGCAATCATGTCGCTGTTAGTTAAGTTACATAATTGCGCTTCCCGTAGTTTGTGAAATGTCTAAACGCACCTTTAGACAGTAAAGAGGGTAACCGCAGGAATGGGTACCATCCCATTACTGCAAACATAAGTATTGTGCATAATAACGTTATAAATACATATTTCCTTATTACAAAATAGTCTTAAAATGTCTAAAATGGTTTTAAAAATGTTTCTTAAATATAATTCAAAAGTTACGCTTAAAATCTTTAACAATTGATAACATAGGAATAATTTTCTCAGGTCTCCATCAAATATTAAATTTACAACTAAAGCCTTTTATAAAATATCCAAAAAAATATTGTGTTAACATATTATGTAAGTATTATAAATTTTATCGTAATATCATCTATCTTAATAATAATTTAAATTTATAAATAAAATATAAAGCTTTGTTGGCATGAAAACCATGGCCAACGGGGCTGCTTCTTTAACTTTGGCTACCTCCCCCCCCACCATCCTTGTCGGGCCTAATTGATAATGGATATATGCACTTATAAGGCGATTAAAAGATTATAAAGATATATTTCCATAAAACCATAAACATTAATTATTAGATTATAGATTGCATTAATTTGTTTACATTAGCATATATTTATGAATAAGAGATATCATTAATACCGTCAGTTAAGAATATAAAATTTCTTGAATAATATTCTCGTGAATGTAAAGTTTAGAAAACGAATAATAACTTTAATACTGCTTTTTAATTATTTAAAAAAAAAAACTGGTAAATTTATTCCTAATCTTATTATGCCAGCGATAATTTAGTCTCCTCCTCGTATTGATGGAAATGTCAGCTGAAGCCATATCTCTTATTAGAACATGTAATTTATTATGAAATCGCTTGTAAAGAGTCCATATTCTTTGTATATTTAGTCTGTATATATATATACATATATATATATATATATATATATATATATATATATATATATATGTGTGTGTGTGTGTGTGTGTGTGTGTGTGTGTGTGTGTGTGTGTGTGTGTGTGTGTGTTTTATATTTTATGTAGGTTTCCCTATTGTATACAACTAGGTTTCCTATCGAATAAGCAATCACTATTATAACATGTATAAGAGATAATTTTAACCTAAAGCATGTAATCGTTATTATTACATAACGTGCTGTGAAGAGATATAAATCAATGATAATTTAAAAACAAAAAAATCTGATGCGCGCAACACATAACTTTCACTTACCTTTCTACTTTCGATAGAAATTATTTTCTGTTAATTATGAGC